AAATTCATATCAGTGAGAATTGATTTGTGTCATTTCTCCTCGCCCTCAAAAAAGAATTCATGTCAGCTACGCATGCCACTCAAGTTTTGTAATTGCAATACGCAGTCAACCGGGTTCAAAAGAAATTTTCATTTCCTCCCTCTGGAATTGGGCATGTATAAATGGTAATTAAAATAGAGACATTTATCAGTGATAGCAGCAAGTGATTCTGCCAATTTAACTTATTATCTTGGTATCTTTAAGTGCCTCTTTCTGAATTGCTTATTCAATTCGAAACTCTTACATGGGAACTCTATAAACTGAGGAAGTGACAACCAGTAAATTTGAGCAATACCAAGTGTTTGTTCACCTGCAAACATTGAATTCATTTTTGGTGGAATTTGTTTTCAATATAACATGAAAAACAATATCGAGCAGGAAATGAAAGGTGCAATATGAACCGTTTGTTCTTTTTAGAGTTACCAATCTTTGGGGAAGAAATATGAAAAATTATATCCATTTAAAAGTGTAGAAACGGAAATGAAATTTAAATGCGAAATTACCTTGTGAATTTCTTACCGCCAAATGCGTCAGCCATCCAAATTAACTGAGACTATATCAGCAGCTGTAGCTATTCGTTTGCTGCTTTTGTTCTCAGGGGTGAAAGTCATCAACGCAATCTCAATACATTATCACAGCACTGATGCGTTAAGCGTCGACAAAGTTATCTTGATATAAATTAAATTCTCTTTACCTACTTACAAGGATTTGTGTATAACCAAGAGGGGGGAGTCAGTAGTTAAATATTTCGGGTTACACGGGTGCGAAGACCATAAAATACTTCAGGGATCTAGGAACCTTGGTATGCATTTGTCAAAATAAAGGCAAGGTAAGACTATATGATATTTGAAAGAACTGAAAACCGTTAACAGACTTTGCATCCAAACTATGGACCCCGATCGCATGAACTCGCGATCAAATCAAAATCAACGACATGGTTGCTATCTCATAAAAGCTGTTCTTTGATCGGGAGTCTTGTAATAAGGGAAGAGCCAGATGACAAGTCGTTTTTGCTCGTTAGTGTTTCATCGCGAGTGCGTCAGTTGGAGAGCGGTATCACATAATTTCTTCATCTATAAGCGACGACACGAAATTAGACTTGTTATTGCTTCTGTGCCCAGCGTTTGCCTTCTTAGTTTATTCGTGTGCGGAAGAAAACTTTCTGGAAGACGAGGTTCAAAATTATAAGCGCTTTTGATCTTTTAAAAAGAAGATAAGTGCCCTCTGTTGGCAAAGTTTGGCTGTAAAAGTAACTAACTTAAAGGTTTCGCTTCGGCTTGGTAACAAGAAGACAAATAATTTTTGTAACCATAGCCATATTTAAAAGTAAGTAAACTTGTCCTCTTAAGGAGGTTTTACACTCTGGATCACTTCTCAGCACAGTAATAAACTGTCATTTTCAACTCCTTCCAGTTGACGTCAAAGGTTTTGTGTTGATATGGAGAATTATCTTAAAACTACAAGGCCGACTTTTTATTAACCACAAAATTTAAACAGTGAAACT